TTCTCTTATTTGAAAGTACGTGGAATTAAATCCACAGCCCCGTAGTCAAGTTGTTTTTCCCGCCTTTTCTACACGTACAGTTATAGAATGTTCTGGAAATATTTAAAGCGAACTGGATTGGCTGACGAGGCTGACGTCATTTCTTGGAAGCTCCGCCTTTCCAGAGGCTATAAAAGGACTCGCAAAAGAATATCGGGGCTTTTTCTTAAATGTCAAGATGCAGTAAATTTCATACAAAAAGTTATTAGTAATTCTTTTTATTTACTCCGGATATCTGATTTTGTAACTGCTATTTCTACTGAATAATAATAAATGGATGCTATTTTCTTTTAAACTTATCGTCTGATAATTTAAGCTGCGACTAAAGCTGGTACATCACATATATATATTTGATATCAAGTCCCAAAATTTCATTTTACGGCCTTTATTTTCGCAATCGTAGGTTGTAGATAAATACTTTCAGTTACAAATTGAGGAAAACTTTGATATTATGACGTGTTTTAAATTAAAAAAGATTGTAAAAATTACGAAACCTAGCTTTTTATACTGCTCCCGGTTCCTATAGTTGTATCTAGTTCTAAAAATTGAAAAAACATGGTTTGATATTACAGTAAAAATTGACTGATATATTTACTGATAATTTTAAAGTTTGAGATTCAGTTCAGGTATCAAATGCATATTGAAGAACAAAATTTGTTTACGTCTGTACGTAACTGAAAGTAAAATTTCAATTAAGAATAAATTTTTGAAATTTATAGCTTAAGCAATGAAAGAGGATGCTCTATAAAAGTATTGATCAATTTAAATGTTTTAAAAAAAACTATCTTATTCACAGAATAACAGAATGTGTGTTCTAGCAAATAACTGTGGTCTTCAATAACGGCGTGCAGCCAAATCTTAACTTATTTGAGTAAATTAAAAAGGAGAAATATTTCTAGTTTAATGAATTTTTCTACATAATTATTATCTTTATGATGCTAAAAAAATAAAAATCTCATAAAAATTACAATAGCGTATTTTTAGCATACGAAAACATGAGAATTTTTGCGTTTCGACATATTATCTGTGAAAAAAATTATAAATTAAAAAGTATTACACGCTAGTAAACCATAAAAGAAGGTAACTAAATGATATTAAAGAGCAAAAAAATTAACCTTGAATTATTCCAATTTTTCTTTAACCTCAAGGAGAGCTGAAAAGGATGCTAAAAATTTCAAATTTTGTAATCAACCCTTTGCAGTCGGGAGGTGACTCTCACTCACCATGTGGTTTAATGCCGCAACTCGGGAAGTGACTCTCACTCACCATGTGATTTGATGCCACAACTCGAGAGGTGACTATGGCTCACCACTTAGTTTGATGCGGGAACTCGATGCGCAGCAATAAAACTGTTTACGTTTAGTTTCTTCGAAGCGTGTTCCTACGCTCTTTCTGTATAATCTTATGAAGTGTAAAATGATACCTCTTTAAATGGAGATAAGATTTTCTTATCTGAAATCTTATCTATCACAAAGTCTGTTCTCAGAGAAATGAATTCGGAAAAGGCATCAAACCACTATTATTGTAATTAATTTGTGTGCGTAATGATTTTAAGTTACTGGTAAGAAATGCGTCAAAAAGACTGCTTGACTTGCTGGTGCGCCGCACGAAAGAGGCCCCGAGTGCAAAGGGTTAAATATTTTTATCAATTTGTTTTCCACATTGGAGTCAAAACGTAATGTGTTTTTTATGAAGAGTCTACATTTTTACAAAATATAATTATAAGGTCCTGGAAATTGTTTAAAATTTTACATATCGCAATTTTTACAAAATTGATTTTTTAGCTTAAAAATGCCACAGAATGAATGGCTTTCTTATTAAAACATTTTTTTTGTACCTTAATATATATATATATATATATATATATATATATACATAGACACATATATTTATGACTAACAGCTGCATGTATGTGTGTGTGTATGTGTGATTATGGCAAAGCCTCGAGGGCTATCTGCCTAAGGGAAGGGATGCCTTCGTGGAGGACTTTCTAAGGCCAACTGGCTCGTATACACGTTACACATGGAGAAAACCACGAAAACGCCCATGCAGCCAGCCCGTTCACGGGATTCGAACCTCAGACCGAACTACCAGTGTTCAACGTCTTTACCGCTCGGCCGCAGGTTGGCTACTAACAGCTTCGAAAATAAATCACATACGGCATCCCTCCCTTTAGACACATAAATATAAGGACGTTTTTGGACATCGTGCGTATATGACACCCTTGGCATTTATGTACGCCATTATATAGTTTGCAGTCAAAGAGAACTTTGTTCTCAGAGACGAAAACGTTGTACCACACAGAACTTGTGAGAGGGATGTGTACTTATTTTCTGCAGGAAACAATGGGAATGGAATAGCCATCTCGGCCTCCGAACTTGAAACCTATTCTGCATGTCTGGAACGTCTTATGAAAATCTACTGTACCCAGTCATTCTCCACAAACCTTTTCGTACTTGGATGGATAATGGAAGTCTTGAGAGGATAATGGACATCGCTCTCTACTGAGCTTATAAACACCGATATTGACAACATCAATTTTCGTTATAGCTGTTGTATTGCTGTTCGGAGTATTTAAACCTAAAGACACTTTCTCTGATCCATACCCGTCACTCAAAATTCATGATTTACGTTTATGTGTTGATTTGGAAAATATAAAATTTTCTTGAATCTAGTATTTGTATCAACTTTATTCATTTTATACATTACTATCTGTTTTGTAACTTTTTTAAATTTCATGAATGTACACATAAAATATTAGTAATTTCTATACATTATTATTACGGCATTATACCCCATATATTTTCATGAGTATACCCATAAAACTTTAAAAAGTAATTTCTGCAGTTCCTTCATAATTTTTTAAAACAAGTACATATGTGTTAGTGAATATAAAACGAATTTGTTTCCTTCAGTTTGCCAAATAATTACAGTTTCATATTTCCACCCAAACCTTTATTTAAAAAAGTAATGGGATTCACGACTACTAATTTTGAAGTGTAACGAATTAAAATCATAAATAAAGATAGAATGTAATGTTACTAGTTATTTCGTTATAATATTGCATAAGTTTTTTTTTGAGCGGGAATCTTAAAAAGTCACCAATCTCTTAGACCGAAATCGAAGCCACGATCTCCCGTCTGCCGGCTAAATGTGCTGACCACTATATCACGAAGAAAAGTTGGAAGGGCTATTCTTAATTCTTTATATTCCATTCTGTAATGGATACTTAGAAAATTAAAATATTAGGAAAGATGAGATCATAAATACAAAGGTATTTCAAAGGGCTTTTCAACTATAAAAAAGTGTAATATTTTAGAAAACAATATTTTAATGTTGAACACATTCAAATACTAAAAATATAAAGTTCTTCGAAGAACAATATCACCGTAAGAACGTGTTTCAGATTAAAAGAAGGAAAACGAACCGGCCAAACGGTATAGCGTCGCTGACTGCTGTGCAGAACTGTCGGGGTTCGAATCCCGGAGAAGATATGGATGTTTGCAAATGAATACTGTCGGTGCGTCATGGCGGCTCTCTAAATATGCGGCGAGCCGAAAATCTTCTCCTGTGGTCTGGCGGAAGAGGAGAGGCGGGGGAGACCTTCGGACCCCGTATCCCCCGGGGTGCTCTCCATCAAAATTTGGGCGGAACTGAGCCAAATCGCACTACGTCTGACCACGTCAGACAAGTGAGCATCAGTAGAAGCAGATGAAAAATGTACGGACGTATGCAATCGTTCCGTTCATAAAAATCCCCTGCTGCCGGAATTAGGTAATAGCATTAAATTTTACGAAAAACTTAGGAACACATGGTTTCTTCTAAATTCAGGAAGTTAAGAATCTCCAAGTTCTTAACTTTGTCAAATTCAGAACTTTTTAACTTCCTGAAATTTAACGAAGGAACTGTTTATTATGTAAGATCTTAGTTCATCAATTTTAAAGCTAAGATTTAACGTTATGAGACTTGAAAAAAATTCATCAGGAACATTTTTAAGCCGAAGATAATGTTGTTCGTATGAGAAATGTATTTTTATAGACCAACTGAAAGTACATCAAGATTGGACGAATCTTAAACATCCAAAAGTACCTTCAGTAACAGAAAGCAACTCACCTAACTTGAGTGTAGGTTGTTACAAAGTCAGTAGACAAAAAAAGTCTTCCCAACGCTGATATCATCTTACTTACATAAATGTGAGCAAAAAAGACACAAAGGGAGTAGGGAAAAAATTACTTTTGAGCAGAATGGGAATCCTTGACGTCATACAGGAGCAAGCATGGACTTTATAAGAGAGGGTAATACTCTTATAAGATCCATGGGAGCAAGTCCTGTAGTCCAATAACTTTGGAATTTAGTAGATACTGAATTTGGCAACATGGGCATGTCTGTTGTAAAGGAGTACCTCCTAAAACCTAGGATAACAGAACAAATGCATAAAACTTTGCTGATTTTGCTTTAAGATTGCAAACATATCTTCTTTAGTATGTAAATAATTTTTTATTACATTATTAGTTAACACTTTATCAGATGATTATTAGTGCTACCAAACAGATTTTGGACCTTTTCCATTACAGGATAACACAGAAAAAAATTTTTTACAGATCGTATAGGTGTCAACATTGCCTATTGTCTTGTTTGTGTGTTGTTTTTAGTGTGTTGTAGTGTGTTGTTTTTATTTCTTATGACAGTATTCTTGTTTCAGAGTAAATATGATAATAAAAAGTTTTTTAATTGTGCCATCTATTTCTTTCTTTATTTACTGAAATAAGTAATCTAAACAATTATGTTTAGAAATCTTTATATTTAGAAATTTCTACTACAGCTGAAATGTGCTATTAATGAAAGTATGTTTTCTCGCCAGAACCATCGAGTTGGAGTAGATATCTTTTCATAGAAAACTGTTTCGCACGTTTGCTATAAAGGAAGAAATACCGCATTTTTTTATGAAATAGTGCACTTACCTGTAACAGTTATTGTGAAAGTTGTTATAAGATGCATATGTTAAATGGACTCCAAAGCCAACGCCAACTGAATAAAATACTTGCACAGCTGCATCAACCCAAACCTAAAAAACGAAAATAAACACATACAAATAAATGACCAGATATCGTTAACACATTTGCATGATACACTGCAAGAATAAGAAATATACGATGAATAATCAATCAAAAAACTATTAGATAATGAAAATAAACGTAGGAGAATTTACGCACAAAATTTTCATTTATGAATCCTACTCCTCACTAAGGGATTTGCACGTGTATCATACAAACAATGTACACACACATCATTTTGCTGTCCTGTCAGCCCTCCTGTCCCACCGGGCGTCGACTGGGGGGGGCAACTAGCGGTGTTCTGGCTCGGACCTGTACCTAAATAGACTTGACTTCTGAGTAAATAACCAGTCTCCACAGTGACTAGAGCCATCGTTTATTCGGTGGTAGGTTCAGGCTCAGTAGGAACCGTACTGGTAAAGTCTTGTCTGCTCCTTGGCTGTGGGAATGTTACGTGGATAGATTTCGAAGGTTGTATTTGGAAGTTTGGTTCACCATGGTCAACATTGGTGGACAATCGACGACTTTACTATGTTCTCTTTGCTGGCGGATGCTTGCCGTCCACCATTGAGTTGTGTTATTAATCATAAACTGTGTGTTTAAAAAATGTCCTTCTGCGTTGACCGGGGGGGATGTTATGCCTCCTTGGATCGCCTCTAGGTGTTGAGGCGTTTACCGTGTAAGCATTTAATGAGCCAGGTCTGGGAGCCCCTTCTCTCTGGTGCACCGCCCTGTCAGCCCACGAAAGCTAGTGCAAATTTCAACAAGCTATAACAACTGCAACAAAATGCAGGAGTGTTTAAAGGAGACCAAAAAATAATGATTATAGTTAAACATGTGTTTATGAAACTGCGTTATCAAAATTTATTACTGAATTGCTTACATTGGACGTTTTAGAAGCTGCTGATATTCATTTTGGTGCTTAATGCATTCAAAGGATTTTTCAGAGTGGAAAAAGAATGAATTAGAGAATCCGGGCACGCTTCATTGCATAAGGAAATAATTGTCAGAAAAGAAAGATTTCGTAAAAGAAAAGAATGAGTTAAATGTGATCAAGGAGGAAGGTAAAACTTTTAAATGTGCTGAGTTTTAGGTATGTTAGTACGTCTTGTTTAGTATAAATACAATAATCTGAAAATATGTGTTTTTCTCAAAACTAATATTTACTCATAATTTCTTCATTCCAAAAATTATAGCACAAAATATTATTATTACATTTCTCATAAAACTCTGCATATTTTTCTTTTATATTGTTTTCTAGTGTGTGGACTAAAAGAAATTTCATTGTGTAAGTATTTTTCTAATAATGGCTTCTTTTTTAAGTTATAACATGATAAATATGCTCAAAAATTAATCGGTGGAAAATTATTCTTCGATCATTTAAAAATTTTTGGCTATGGCACTATCTCTTAAATAATAGTGCAAGCACTAGAAGGAAACATATAGTTTATTATAATACTATATTTTTCAAATAAGTTTAAATGTTTTTCAAGTGGATTTTTCAAATTTTTGAAATATTTCTAGTATTTTCTATACATAAAATATTTTTTTTTGTAAAATAATAATGATTTTTTAAATATTGATAACTTATTTTTAATTTTTTATGAAACTTAAAGCTAAAATGTGATTAATGCATTTGTATATTGCACTTAAAAAGTATTTCAAACGTATTCGAATCTCTTAAGTACAAGAAGTGCATGGGTGGATGGATGCATTACGGATTTAATGGATCAGTTAACCTCACAGGGTCATAATATGTTGAACGTGTGGTAAACAGAGTCTTTCTTTTTATGTAAAATTATAAAACACGTAAAATAATACTTTTGATGAGAATTCAACTGTATGTTCAGGAATAGATGAATAAGACACCCGGGTACCTGAGCGAACCCTATCCCGAATCGAAAAATACAAAGCTTCGAAACTGTATCTCGACTAACTTAATATTGATTATAATAAAATTTTAAAGTTTAAACACGTAACATCATAGTAACTCATCCAAGAATGCAGACTTGAAGGACGGGGAACCGAACATTAGACCTTTCGTATGCAAAACGAACGCTGTACCATTGGGCTACACCCCCCCCCCGACACCAGAAGAAAGTCTGAAGCTTTTAAATCAGTAAGCGAGTGAGTACATATTATATATTTTCTCATGCATAGCCTAGATATCAAGTGTTAGGTTTTATTAAGCTGGTTCATATATTTTTAAGGCCCACCAGCGGCCGAGCGGTAAAGACGCTGAACACTGGTAGTTCGGTCTGAGGTTCGAATCCCGCGAACGGGCTGGCCCATGTGTAACGTGTATACGAGCCAGTTTCCCTTAGAAAGTCCTCCACGAAAGGCACCCCTCCCTTTAGGCAGATAGCCCTCGTGTGCTTTGCCATAATTAAATACACCAACACCATATATTTTTAAGGAAAAATTGCTTGGTATGTATAATGCTATAACAGAATAGCTGAAGGTTAAAGTACTTAAAAATTTTACCTACAAATTATGGAAAGAAAAATGGGAAATTTCTAATACAAATAAAGACTATCTGAGGCTGGTAACAGTAAGAAAAAGAAAAAACATATAGCGATACAGATTTAAATCAAATTTCAACGAGCCATGAAGTCAGATTTTAATGGAGTACTTTTAAAGATCTTAAAAACTCCTTCTTTTGCACAAAACCTTCAGCTAGACTTGGCGAAAACATTCGACCGCGTCTGGCATTCGGGACTCATTGCTAAGCTCATCAATCTCCAACTAGATCGAGAACTTATCCCGGTCATCCTTTCATTCATATCGAATAGAACCTTCAGATCTTTCTTGGGAGACGGTTTTTCTTCTTCTAGAAAAATCTTAAGTGCCCCAGGGTTCAATAATTGGCCCCGTACTCTATCTGTTCTATGTAGCAGACTTTCCTAGGGTGCGACTTAACAACAATGCACATTAAAATGCTTAGTATTGAACAGCTACTGGGAAATAAACTGGTGTGCAAAACTTAAGCAACAATGTAAAAATTTAGCAGATAATCATGAAATTGCAGAAGAGGAGGTCTGGAGATCAGTACAATGAACACGTAAGTCAGTAGAAACGTCATGCGTATGCAAATATCAGGAACGAAAAGTCAGAGGCGACGTGAGCGTACACAAAACGCGTGATGTCAGCGCGCGCAGCTCAACAGTAGAATAAAAGGAAGGACGGAGACGCAATTCAACATATTCGCTGCAAGTGCCAGTGAGTCAGTTCGTGAAATATGGCTAGAAGAAATCACCTGGACGACTTCACACGTGGATGAATGTTCGGAAAGCTGGAGGAGGGGCGTACTGTCACCAGTGTAGCTGCAGAGTTCGGAATCAATAAAAGTGTCATTTCGCGCGCTTGGAAAGCTTTCCAAACCACAGGGACAGCTGTTAGAAAGGTTGGTGTTGGCCGCCCGAGTACGACAACTGCAGGGGATGACCGATATGTTGTCCTGCAGGCGAAAAGAGGCCGACAACAGTTAGCAAGCGCCATTGCTCAGCAACTCTGTACAGCAACGAGGCGACAAGTGTCGCGGTTTACTGTGGCCAGACATCTTCACAAAGGGGGCCTATTCGCCCGCCGTCCTGAACGCTGTCTCCCGTTGAAAGTTGGTCACCGACGCCACCGTTTACAGTGGCGCAGAGAGCACAAAAACTGGACAACTAATCAATGGAGTCGTGTCCTCTTTACGGATGAGAGTCGGTTCAGTACCAGAAGCGTTTCTCACCGCGTTTTGATTTGGAGAGAGGTCGGGACCCTGTTTTATCCCAGTAACATCAAGGAAAGACACCGTAACGGTGGTCCTGAGTTCTTGTCTGGGGAGGCATTATGCTGAACGGGCGAACTGAGCTCCACGTTTTCGACAGAGGGTCTGTAACCGGGGATCGCTATTGTGAGGAGGTACTCCTTCCCCATGTGCGTCTGTTCCGAGGTGCCATTGGCCCAGACTTAATTTTTATGGATGACAATGCACGACCACATCGGATTCTTACTGTTGAGGAGCTACTGGAAAGTGAAGATATCACTCGAATGAATTGGCCAGCGTACTCCCCAGATTTAAATTCCATCGAACATGAGTGGGATGCTTTGGGGAGACGCATTGCAGCACACTTAAATCCTCCGGAGAACACCCAACAACTCAAACAGATGCTGATTGAGAAATGGGCACTCCTACCGCAAGAAATGTTGCATCAGCTGGTTCTGAAGTATGCGTGGACGGATGTGTGCAAAGCAACCATTGCACTGAGGGGAGGGCATATCCCATATTAAGGAACATCTGCTTGTTGTTCTTCCTCTTGGATAGACAATCATGAGTCACGATACTTATGCGTTCAATAAAGCTTGTTTTTGTTTGATTCCATACCGTATGCATTTTTTTTCTGTTTATTTGCATTTTTTTTCTGTTTATTTCCTTTTTCAGCTCCGATGCTTTCGTCATCCTTTACGTACATAATACTCTCTTTCATTTCTGCATTTCATGTCTCTCAGTTGATTTCTCGTGGAGTTATGTCAAAAAGCCCTGCTGTTGCTTAAGTTTTGCACACCAGTGTATGTATTAACGGCCAAAAGTCACAGCTCCTGTTTGTTAGACGGAAAAAGCGGAATTTAAAGCCAAAGAAAAATCTCTTCCTTTTCAACTTTCCAAAGGCTAAATACCTAGGAATAATCATTATTGACTAATTCACATGGTCGTATCACATTGAACGCATGAGAAGCAAAGCAATCAAATTCATGAAGTGCATATTTCTCAGCATTAAAAAGTAACACTCAAAACTTGACTTTTCAATGAAAAACCTCATCTACATTTCAAGTATTAAACCCTTTATGCTTCGCCAGCTTGGGATTCTGATACTAGGATATACATGATACTACTTAGGATATACATAAGCTTCAAGTTGTGCAAAACAGATTTTTAAGGATTAGCACTAATGCACACTATTTTGTTCGAAATAAACTTCTACATGCTGACTTTAAACTAGATACACTGATAACTTACTATATTACA